CTAATTCCTCGTACTCTTAGTCGTAAAACGGACTATTTAACTTGTTGTAGAGATTTAGATTTTCACTTTGTAAGCAACTCTCTTCCATTTGAATTACCAATTATGGGGACATATATAATTAAATGTTTAGGTTGACAAAAAAAATTAAAATAATTAATTAATATTAAATCAATCATAAACGTACATGTGACAAAAGAATTTATTATACTCCTTGCAAACAAGAATTGTTTTTCGCCCTTTCTCCTCTTTCTTTAAATTTTCCCATTTATTAATTTAACTAGATGATTCTTCCACGTGCACGCATGTAATTTATTTTTAGTTTTTTTAATATTATAATTTGAAAATATGTATTTTTTGATTTTTATTAGAGACATTGTTGTTGATATTTTGTTATAATTTTTTTTTGTTGATAATATAAATTTTTGGAAGTCAAGTTTTACCATTTCATTATTTCATATACGTAAACGTATAAAAAAAATATATAATAATTTAATATATTAGAGGATACAATCTATTATCAAAAGTTGAGATTCCTCTTATTAAAGATTGAATCCCCTGTTTGATAATTTTTTTTTTTAAAATATCATTTTCTTCACATTAAATTTTAAATAAAAATGAATTCGACATCGAAATATGAAAAGATTAATTTGAGCAATGTTTCGTAAACAAAAAAAAATATTTTTCTTATACATCATAAACGAAATACACTACTTTTTCCTCTTCTTTTGTTTTCCAAACTTTTGTTGTTTTCTATTTTTATTATGGTTAACGTCTCTTACACTTTTTCATATTTTGTTAAAGAAAAACATTTTAGAGATCAATTTCATTCATTGAACGATTTTCTATAATCTGATATTTTTACATCATATTTAACTTTTCATAGTGTTTTTTTACTAAACACTTAATATAATATGACAATGTTAAACTGATTTTCTTAAAATATAAAAGCTGAATATTAGCTTTATAAATATTAGCATGTAAAATATGTAACATTTGATTTTTTTAAATTATATTTACTATAAAGATATAAAAATTTATACACAATTTATCTTAAATGATTTCATTATTTTCAAATTTTCTTGTGTTAGAAATTAAGTTTTTTTAAGAATATGTATATTTGTTTTTATAAATTTGAAAAGTTTTTGTCACATAACATAATAAATTCTCTTTAAAAACTTGTTAAGTCTTTATTATAAATTTCAGTAAAAATATATTTATATAAAAAGTATTCTAAAACTTTATTGTGACAAAAAAATAAATTTTAAACATTTTTTATGAAAAACGTAAATATATTAGAATAAAGTATTATTTAAAATTTCTTTTAATTTATTTATGAAAAAAATGTAAACATAGTTAAAAAAGATTTTGTAAAAGATGTTGTTTTGATTCATTTGTGCCATGTCATATTTGTTTTGAAACCATTCATAATAAAATTTATGAAAGTGATTCTGGTGATGACAAATAAGCAAATTTGATAAAATTACTTTTCAGATAATGTATAAGAGATATAGAGATACTATTCTAGAACTCTTCTAGAGACACTAAGAGCATGTTTATTGGTGAACTTTTGTGGATTTCTTTAAATATAAAATTATTAAAATTTGAGTAAAAGGAAGAAAGAGAGTGTGTTTGGTTGAAATAATGGGGTATATTAAAATATAAAATTAATAAAATTTGAGTAAAGAGAAGAGATAGTGGATATTTTTGAAAAGAGAGTATCATTAGAATGAACTTTTTGAGATTGAGTTAGGGTGTGTTTAAATATAAAATTAATAAAAGTTGAGTAAAATGATGAAAGAGAAGGTATAAAATTGAGTAAAAATATGAAAGAGATTGTATAAAGTTGAGTAAAAAAAAGAAAAAATGTGTTTTCAATAATTTTATATTTAAAGAAACCCACAAAAGTTCACCAATAAACATGCCCTTAGAGTATAATTAAAGCATCTTCAACGGTTGGAACTCACAAGAGTTTCTAAACAATATATTATAAATATTTTAATCTAATATTGTGGTATAATTAAATATTAATTCAAAAAATAAAAATTTAAATCACCTGTGAGGTGACAAGTGGAAGAAGATTATTTAATGTGTTTCTTCCACTAGAAGATTATTTAATGTGTTTCTTCCACTAAAACCTCACATTTAATATTCACCAAAAACCTCACATTGAAAGTGTTCTAAGAGCATGTCCAACGATGAATGATCTCCAAAGAGTATCTA